CCTGTGATTCATTCCAAATCGACATTCCATTGTTCACCTCACCTGACTGCATTTCCTCCAAAGTGTCCACTTGGTCTGTATCTACTCATCTTTTACTACTCAGCTCAAGTTTCACCTCTCCTTAGAGTTTGTTCTATGCTCACAGGTAGTTTTAAATTTTCGCAGCCTCCTTTGTGCTCCTGAATCTTAAGCCAGATTCTGCCATAGCATCTGCTGCGCTTCATTGCACCTACCTGCAAAGAATTAAATGCGTTCTTTCTCTTCACAGTGCCAGGCCGATCTTGGTATATGTTCAATTTTACTGTTACATCCAAAGCACACAGACAAATCCTTTTGGTTTTCTCCTCCAAGTAGGGCTTTATTATAAGACATATATGCCAGGAAACAGAAGAAGCTGAAGCAAAATTATAATTTCACTGTAGCTTCTCTTTATACCTGCCAGCTCTTTTCTTTTTCTCCACCTTTACCATTCTTTATTCCTGGATTCCATGGACTATTGTGAGCAAAACTGTTACTGCCACAGCATAGTTCTTCCAAGAAGGCAAAGGTTAATATTTATAATAAAAAATAAAGCCAAGTAAAAGACTGGGAGCTAGTAATAATTGCTTGGGTGAAAACTTGTTGGCCTTCAATGCCATAACGCACTGGAAAGAAAAATTAAGACTAGTGGTATTCTGGGTGTTAAGCTACAAAGATAACTTAGAGAGAATTAGCATAAAGCATGAAGGACTCATTCACCTATACCTGTACTGACCAATATAGTAACTGCTACCCACATTGGCTATTCACATTTAAATGTAAACAATTCAAAATTAACATTAAAATTCCAGTTCCTTGATTGCATTAGCCACATTTCAAATGCTCAACAGCCACATGGGAGTGGTGGCTACTGTATCGGACAGCACAGATCTTCCATGATTTCAAACATTGCCATTATAATAGACAGTGCTGCTCTAGAAGTCTGATTTAGGAAGAACAGTCCCTGTTTGATTGTCTCCCAGACCCAAAGCAAGGGTGGAGGTTCTACAGATGACACAGTGTCCCTAGGAAATGTGATTGATATGTTTGAATGAGTTCTTGGTTTGTCAGTTCAGAATCAGTTGTAACGGCAGAGGATGGAGCCAGCTCATAACTAAGCCCTCAGTCTATTTGTTGGCTCTAGAGACTGCAACAAAGAGCTCAACATTGGAGTGTTTTTCTGTTGACTACAACAGGTTTTGAAGAAGTATTTCTTACTTCTCCCGGGCCTGTGCTGCGTGTTATCTTACACCCTGCAGAGCAGGGGTCACGCAGTGAGCAAATTCAAACATGCCTACTCAAGGCATGGGACAATTTCCATGATCAATTTCTTACCCTACTGAGTTTTTTAAAATATTGCTTTTATAATTGAGGAAATTGAGGCTCTCAGGGGTTACTTTACTTGCTCAAGGTCACAGAGTAGATGGCAGTGAGGCTGAGATTCATTCCCAGGTCTGTGACTCCAAACCCTGCTCTTTTTCTGTCACTGTCATGCAGGAAATTCAGCTCTTTCTCTCTGTTCATTTTGGTGCAGATCCTTGTTCCATGGATCCAGCGCAAGGTGAGTGCCGGGATTACACCCTGAAGTGGTATTACAGCAAGGAGAGGCGGGTTTGCCAGCAGTTCTGGTATGGCAGCTGTGGGGGCAATGCCAACCGGTTTGAAACCAAAGAAGAATGTGAGGCTCAGTGTGTCCCGACGCAGTAATGGTCCAGGCAGAGCCCTGTGACTGTTAAAGGCAGGGCTTTTAATGCTGATGAAATAGGGATTGCCCTGGCCGAGGCAGGACTGCACCGCTCACAAGTGACGCAGACCCCACTCCAGCACCTTGGACATCAGATTTCTCAACCCCTGCATGTTTCCCTGCCAGCATCGACTTGGGCCAGATGATTTGTGACTTGAGGACTGAATTCTAATAGGTAAAAAAGTAACTGAAATATATTTAAATGAATTAGAACTGAATGAAAAAGCAACGTGAACTTGACCTATAATATTATTTTAAAATTTTGAGGTGCTATGTAGTAAAAGAACAATCAGTATAAGCAGTGAGAAAAACCTAATTCAGAAATGAATGGAAACTTGGTTTGTTTTTTACCACCAGAGAAGAGGGAAATATTAGTCAAAGAGAGGGCATGTAAAAAAGGACATCTAATGCGAATGAACTTCATCCTTACTACTTATTTTAGATAAATAAAGGCATTCTTTATTCAATCATCAGGGACGAGACTCTGTGTGATTCTTGCTCACTGCAATGTGTGCTATACTTTGTGACATAGTGGTTGATGAAGAGACAGCAGTGATTTTTCCAAGAGGCCAATCCTTTGACATCCATTATAGTGATCTCTGTCCTTCAGCACAAGTAAGCCTGACATTGTTAATGAAAAGTGAAATGAAAGGTTGACATTCACCATGGAGGAAACATTTTTCAGCAAAGATATTAAGGACAATTGTGTTTTGTGTGTGTGTGTGTGTGTGTGTGTGTGTGTGAGAGAGAGAGAGAGAGAGAGAGAGAGAGAGAGAGAGAGAGAGAGAGAGAATCTTCCTCAGCCTCATGGCTTGATTCTCTGGGCCTCTAACCATAGGCCCAGCTTCCAGGCAGAATTGGGAACTTTGTGGAGGAGAGCTGTGGGGCATTGAGGATGCCTGGCTTGGGGCCTCTGTAAGATCATGCATTAGTCAGCTGGGGCTGTCATAGCAAAATACCATGGGCTTAAACCACAGAAATTTGTTTCTCACGGTTCTGGAGGCTAGAATTTCAAGATCACAGCACTGAGGGCACTATATTCTTCCTGGCTTGCAGATGATGACCTTCCCACTGGGTCCTCACATGGCCTTTCCTTGGTGCATGCTCATAAAGAGACTGAGAGGGAGAAGACCCAAGCTCTCTGGTGTCATTGTCTTTTTTTTTTTTTTTTTTTTTTAATTTGAGAGAGGGTCTCACTATATCAATATTGCCTTGGCTAGCCTCAAGGTCTTGGGCTTAAATGATCCTCTGCTTCAGTCTCCTGAGTAGCTAGGACTACAGGTCTGAGCCACTGCCTGGCTCTGGTGTCTCTCTCTTCTAAGCACACCACTCTTACTGGACTAGGTAACATTCTTATGACCTCATGTAACTTCAATTACCTCCTAAGGACCTAAGTACAAATATAGTCACATTAAGGGATTATATGAATTCTGGGGAAACACAAACGTTCAGTCATAACAGATCACAAGCAGCTGGTCGTCCCCCAGGGACACAGGGTGGAGTTGCTCTCTGGCAAGTATCTGGTTCCATAACTGTGATTGCTATAATCTGTGTGTTCTTCCACACAGTCTGGTGACATAGCAGGTGGAATGGAACCAGCTTTATACAAAATGTTCAAAGAGGCACATTTTAAGTTCTATTTTTACAACAATCATTTTAATATGATCACAAAAGGATGACTGTTCATGGTAGCAAATCTGTAAGACACAGAAATGCACATGGAAAAAATAAAGATCACCTATCAAAAGGTAACCATTCGGATATAATCCAGGCTTTTTCTAATGAATGAATATACTATCTTCTATTCTTTCTTAACGCAGTACATGTAACTGATTTTTGATGGGAATTAAATGGTACATGCTCCATCCTGCCACAGAGCTGCTCATCATTTGAATGGGTATATGCAGTTCTCTCTTTTAGGCATTATCTCAGCTGCCTGAGCATAAAACGGCCAAACTGATTGATCCTGAGGATGGTATTTGATTTGAACTGTGATTTATTTTCTACTTCTTATTCCCACTTTTCCCTTCCGACATCCAGGAGTTGGGAACACCAAGGCAAAGGTTCAGTAATAAGAGGATCATTGGGAAGAGACATTCAAGTATGTTGATTGTCCCCATTTGTTAACTTAAGAAAAAACATAATTTATAAAGATAGAAGATAGGAGGCTTTAATTCTTATAAAAGGTCATAGCCTGCAAGGTGGCTGTCCCACAGGCTGGGAAGCCTGCCCCTAGCCAAGACCAGAGACAGGCGTTTCGAAGGAGGAGAGGTTGGGATAGGAGTTTTATACTGAACAGGTTGGCTAAGCATACATGTTTAGCTCCTCAATAAGTTACAGGAGGAACTGTGAATATTCAAGAAAGCGGTCCTGACACAGGTATATTGGACAAACCTACATGTAACTTATGACCTACGTTCACTTTGAAATGAATAGATGAAATGTATTACATCTAGCCCCTATAAGTCAAAAGGTCTTTTCAGGACATGAAGGCACACAGATGTGCAGTCTCTGTAAAACAGCAAGAACCAGTCCATGGCTGGTGGTATTCTCATCATGAGAAAGTTACTGAAATCAGCCTCTTGCCCAGTCGAAGCTGTTTATGGTTAGTGGAACAGGGTCCAGTGAGACAGCCTCTGTGAGCTGGTTGTAATTGTTTTAATGCTGTTTATTTGGATGCGGTGCTGGTTTAGCCGCTAGAGAAAAAGAGAAACCTTGCGGTAGTTAGAACACAATTGATCTTTTAAGTGCAGGAGTGTGTGACTTAACCCTTGGCTGGCGTGGTCATAGGTCCCGTTTATAATTTGGTATCTTATTGCCATGAAAAGTCTCCTCTGTCAGTCTCATGATCCTCGTTTTAACATTAATGCTGGTCAGTTGTGTCTAAACTCTAAAAGGGAGGGGGCATAACAAGCATGTCTGACTTTCCATCCCATCATGGCTGGGAATTCAGTTTTAAGGTATTTCTGGGGTTCACTTTGCCAAGAGGGCGTCCATTCAGCTGATAGGGGCTTAGGATTTTAAAGTTTACACGTCCTTGGAACATGCATGAGATCCAACTGCAGTTCTCCCTGTGTTTACTAGGTGGCGGTATAACCCTTTCACGGAGCTCCTCTGCCGCTCAGCATAAACCTTACACTCCATAAATTGTAAGGTAGCAACGATATAGCCAAGGGCAGAAACAATTGTCTGTTGTTTTAATATTTATACCCACTATTGTATACACAGTTTAAAAAGCATTTTCCCATCTTATGTCATGTATTTGCCCAGCCCCACCACTAAATCTAGGACGTTGGCGTTGTCCTCCCGCTTTTGGTGATGAAGAAACAATCTTATCTTAGAGAAGTGTGTGCCTTGGCTCAGACCCGTATCAGAAACTGGCCTTGAACTCCTTTTTATCCTGAGACTAGGGTTCCTTTAGCCATATTGCATTTATTCCAAACCATTAGCCGTCACCAAGAATTCTGAAAGTCAGAGCCACAGGGAAGGGAGGATGGGCTGGATTTCTGCCCCCGATTCCCGGCTCTTCCGTCTGCTGTCCCGCCCCACCCCTATGGTTCTGGTCTGGGCGGAAGCAGGAAGGACTGAAAGAGAAGTTGAGCTGCAATGGAGGTCAGTTCTGACGGCAGCCTCAGCCAACACCACGTGGGTCTCTGGACCTAAATGGGCTTGTGTGAGATCCCCCAGTGTGGGCTGACGTGGCTGGGCCTGTATCCCCTGCATCCATCACCCAGAAGGGCATACGCATACCTGTGGACGAGGCAGCTCCGAAACTGTGGCAGGCTCAAAAGGGGGCCAGCTGAAGGCTTTCTGCTCACAGCACTCCTAGCAGGTGAGGTACCAAGTTCTTCCTTGAAGCGAGATCTGCATAGCACAAACCACACTCATCATAGTCCCTTTACCCGGAAAGTCCTTTTGCATTGTTTTCAAATTTCCCTGGCTTCCAGAATCTAACAGGACACAGTGAAAATCTTGTGCCGTGCAAGTTCTCAGAGATCCAGCTTTTGCATTCATCTCTAGCCTCACCTGTGGTGAGCTGACCCTCCAAGGTTTCTTTTGAGCAGTACCATTTCCTGGAGATGCCACATTCCACCCACCCATGCTGTTGCCCTTGGTGATACTTCTGTGGGAAATGCCTTTATTTAATTTATTTAAAAATATTTAATAGGTCTTTATTATGTACCATAACCATTATCTATGTCAAAACCCAGCTCAGCTCTCATTGCCTCTCAGGAAAACATTTCCCATTGCCTCCTTTCAAGAAAGAATTCGTCAGTAGCTCCTACAGGCTGCCTTGTATACCCTTCTCTTTTTGCCCTTTTCCCTCCATTTCACACCAGTTGCCCATTAGTCTCCTTATTCGGCCATGAGCCCCTTCATCTTGGAATCCCCTGCCGGGCACGGGGCCTGACACGCCTCCCTTTAGTTCTGATATTTAAACTCCCTGCCAATTTTCAGACTGTTAGAAATGTCCCACAGCCATCCTAACAGTTGGTTTCCTTCTATATCTCTTTCTCTAGAACAACTCTTTGTAATTCTGCATTTATTTTTGTTCTGCATTCGTTTCAGACACCAGGGCATCTGCCTCCATCAGTCAATTGTAAAAAGGTTCATGTGTTTTTAAATTCCTTCTTGGATCTGTTATTTCATTAATTATAACTTTGCACTGCTTTGGGGATATTAATTTATCTGAGGAAACAACTGAGACCCAGAAAGGTTAAGTGGCATCAAATCTTACACAGTGATTCAATTGGTAGCCTAAAATTAGAATTAAAATGTGTTTCAAACTGATTTGGCATCTGCTTGGTTCACTCTGCAAAGTTTAGGGGTTTTAATCACTATGTGAATTAACTGCTTTGCACTTTTAAACATGTAGCAGATTTCACTGATCCTAGAAAAGTGGAGGGTTTACAATTGCTGGGCTCAGAACTTGGTTCCCTGCCACGCATCAAAATGTATAAATGCACACAGGGGATTTGCCCTGAGCGCTTCTGAGTGGGGATTATGGTATGGTTCTTCCTATGTTTAATTTCTGTCCTCTTGTGATCTCATGGTGGACTCTTCCTTTAACTTTTGAATAATCTCAAAGGTACATTTGTAATACAGCTGGAGGGTCAATGTTGGGATTATGGTGTTATGGGAAATACCAAGACTGGGGCATGTGAATTCAGCATCTGATTCCCTCCCCAGCTTTCCTGGTGATTTCAAAGAAGATACTATATTTTTCTGGGCTTTGGTCTTTTCTGTCTGAGGAGACTGGAGAGGAGAGAAACATTACTTGACCCTTTATATTCTTTCTAAATTCTGCAAACAAAATCATTCCTTCGTTAGCTCATTTCTTGGGAGGCTAAAAGATGCAAGCCCAGCTGAGGACAGGAGAACCACCCAGCTGAACCTAACCCAAATTTATGACCCACAGAATAATGAGCTAAATGACTGGCTGCTGTTTTAAAACGCTAAGATTTGGGCTAATTATTACTTGAAAAATGCTATGGCTGATGGTTGCTCATGTATCTAGTCAGCTACCAGTCTGTTGGTCAGTTGGCTTGCCTAAGGTCAATTCCTAATGATAGAAAGTAAATAAAAATTGTATATTTGTAGTCATGTGATAATATAGCCTCAAAGTACTTAAAACACCCATGCAATTAGATTCAAGAAAGCATTTAGAAGCCAAATAATTGGAAGGAAGACATAATATAGTTTCTATTCATATAAAATATGAATATATATCTGGAAAAGTAAAACATGCTAACAGAACAGCAACGTTACAGAAAGACTCTTCTCCATCAGCCTGGAGCCTGCAGTGATCATTCAACTGCTGACTGATGGACATGAAATACGATTGAGAAAGAAACCTTTGTTTTTGTGGCCCAACAAAGTTAGGGGGTCGTTACTGCAGCATTTCCAGGCCTGTCCCAGACATACTGATATAGAGAAATGGGGACTTTCAAACATGGCTTTTGAAAGCAAATATTAGAAAATGCTTTGACATTTTCTAGTAAAATTAAAATGTTAAATGCTATGAACCGGCAATTTTACTCCTAAGTATATTCCCTGAAAGCTCATTTGCATGATCACCAAGATATGACCACATTCCTGAATGATGTTCACAGCAGAATTTTTTTTTTTTAAAAAACCCAAGTTGTAAACAACCCACCTGTTCATTAACAGTGAAATGTATAGGCCAGGTGTGGTGACTCATGCTTGTAATCCTAGCACTTTGGAAGGCCAAGGTGGGCAGGTCACTTGCAGTTATGAGTTGGAGATCATTCTGGCCAACATGGTGAAACTTATCTCTACTAAAAATACAAAAATTAGCCAGGCATAGTGGTGGGTGCCTGTAATCCCAGCTACTTGGGAGGCTGGGGCAGGAGAATTACTTGAAGTTGGGAGGTGGAGGTTGCAGTGAGCCGAGATTGTGTGCTACATTCCTGCCTGAGTGACAGAGTGAGACCCTGTCTTAAAAAAGAAAAAAAAAAAGAGTGAAATGTGTGAATATGCTGTAGTACATTAAAATAAGGTATACAACAATGAAAATGAATGAATGAAATTGAATAAAGATTAAGCCACATTGACTAAATCTTAAAGTGTATTTTTGAGAGAGAAAGACACAGAAATATGCATACAGTAGGATTTCATGCATCTAAGCTCCAAAATAGGCAAAGTTAAATGCTATTGTTATCCTTTATGTGGTAGAACTTGAAAAAAAATTCCAGATATGTGGTCACCATTGAAGTCAGGACAGCAACACGGTAGATGCCCTGATGTGTTGCCTATATCCCCTTCAGGAATGAAGATTCTGTTCTTTAGCTGCTGGAAGGCGACTCTCAGAGGTCAGTCCTCACTGGAGATTTCCTCAGAGGAAGAGAACCTTCCATGTGCAGATGTTTCCAGTGACTGATCATCAATGAGTTATAAAAACCCAGCCCAACAACTTGGGATAACTCTGAAGCCATCCCAGAGCCGCTTATGGGGTTGACTAAGGCCTTCCATTGGACATTGGACTGCACCACAGCCCACCTTCTCTCTCTGCCTAATTGTGCTCTCTTCTTCATTCTACAGGTGTTGACTTTAAAGACATTCCCATATAAGAAATGCCTGATGTAGGTGATAGGGGGTGGGGGGTGGAAGGAGACAGCAAACCACCATGGCATGTGTGAACCTATGCAACAATCCTGCAAGATCTGCACATGTACCCCAGAACTTAAGTACAATTAACAAAGAAAGACACTCCCATATAAATGTCCTATGCGTTAATCTCTGTTTCAGAGACTGTTTCCTGGGAACTCCAGTCTGTAATCCTCTTGCAGAGGGAGCTGGCTAGGACAAGGAAGGGAAACAGTGATGCTAATTATGTTCTGTTCTTCTGTCCAAGTTGTAGTTTTGCAGGTGTTCATTTTGTATGTATTCATTAACATATATATTTATATTTTATGCTGTTCATTTATGTTTCATGAATCATAGTAATCCAGAAATTCCTCAGAAACACAAATCCAGGACAAGTAAGTGGATGTCATCTTTATATGACCCCTGATTCAGGAAAATAAAACATATTCTTTTAAGATATGTGTCAGCCCGAGTGAATCACCTTTTTTTTTGGAAGGGGCATGGGACTCTTCATTATGCATCTATGAGTGGACACATTTTAAAAGCATATTTTTTTCATTAATCAGAATGTAGCAATTTTATCAGAATGCCTTCTGTCAGGAAAAGAAAATCCCAGACTTGTTCTTGCCCTTGCCTTCTTAATCACTTTCCTCAGAGAAAACTAAAAAGTGATCTCAGAATACTGGTCTCATTTTAATCCCGTGGTCCTTTGGAAATAATTTTGTTTTGACTCAGAACTGCACAGGGGCGTAAAGAGAAACTTACAAGGGCAGATGTAAGAGGTGACATATATCTCTTCCATCAGTACATATTTACTAAGCACCTACTATGTGCTAAGGACTCTTCAAGTAGCTTGGGATATGGCAGTGAAGAAAAATAGTAATAAAAAACACCCCACCCTTGTGGAATTTACATATGAAGAGCATGGCTGGGGATCTTAGAAATAGGTACCACAGTAAATAAGTAAATTAACCAAATGCTATGAAATAAAAATGAAAGTATACCAAGGTAAGGGTACCTGGAGTGCCAGTGGGGAGGTTTGAAAGTCACAGTATTATAAAGATGGCCAGGGCTTGCCAATGAGGAGCTGATACTTGAGAAAACACTTGAAGGAGGCAAAGGAAATGCTTGTCCTTGAAAGGCTATGTAGGTATCAGGGGCAAGGTCATTCCAGGCAGAGGCAACAGCTAACACAAAGAAAGGCTGTAAGGTGGAAATGTATCTGGTTTGTTTGAGGAACAGCAATGATGATGCCAGTATGCAAGAAGCGGTATGAAAAAGTGGGTCAGAGAAATGAAGTTAAAGAGGAATTGAGGAGAATCATATTGCGTATGACCTTACAAAGGATTATGTTTTTTTTTTTTTTTTTTTTTTTTTAAAGACGGAGTTTCGCTCTTGTTACCCAGGCTGGAGTGCAATGGCGCGATCTCGGCTCACCGCAACCTCCGCCTCCTGGGTTCAGGCAATTCTCCTGCCTCAGCCTCCTGAGTAGCTGGGATTACAGGCACGCGCCACCATGCCCAGCTAATTTTTTGTATCTTTAGTAGAGACGGGGTTTCACCATGTTGACCAGGATGGTCTCGATATCTTGACCTCATGATCCACCCGCCTTGGCCTCCCAAAGTGCTGGGATTACAGGTGTGAGCCACCGCGCCCAGCCAGGATTATGTTTAAGCTATCTATTGCTATGTAACAAATTATTACAAACTTTATGGCTTAACTCAG